TAATTTTTGATCAGAGTCATATGTTCTAATTTTTTTAAACTTTTCCAGAAATTTTTCTGTTAATTTATTTGTTACATTAAATACTTAATGTGTATTTCATATAAAAACTTGATTATGCCAATTTAGTTAACTTGTTAAGCATTAATATAAAATTGACTACTTGTAATGGTGATTGGTATGATGATGATGATCCCAGTCCTAAGCAGGGTTTATTATTCACAATGTCATTATGCTCTTTTTAAGTTTTAATAAAATACATGGAATATTGTTGAATGCATTTTATATTTTTTGTATAGATAAGAATGTTGCAATGTACAATGATGATGTGAATTGCTTCCTTGTGTAACTGATGACATTATAAATATAACAAACTTGAAAACATGGGAATGCTTTCTTCAGCATTACCTTCCTTTCTCCATCATAACCCTTATAATCTTTATTACAGAAATGGTCACTGCATATTCTTGCATTTTTTGATGGAAGCTATTTGAAATCATTTATTTCCTGTCTGATGCACTTAATCCAATCGTTTTGCATTTTTACATTTTGAGGAAATCTGAAATTTTATAAACTGTTACAGAAACTTGTGCATTTCTTAAGTATTGCTTTTAATAATAAAATGGTAATCCATGATAGCATTATAAATTATAATAGTCCATAAAATAAAATATATGTAATTGTAAAACAAAATAGTTCTATTCAATGAGTATAGGGATATTGTTACATTTATTTTAGTGTGAAGTTAATTTGAAAATAAACCTGTGAAAAGATGCATCAGAAATTTTCTCGTTTCTATTTATTATTAATGCAATTTTTAATGCAACAGGTAGGCATGTTTGTGTATAGCTACGAAAATGAAAATTTACTTAAAAACTAAGTTGTTGTATCTGACACGAAAATTAGTACGGAAACAAAAACGGAAGAATAAATGACAATATAAAAATTTAAACATTGATTGAAAGAGTTTATTCTAATTATATGGTATGGGCAATTCGTTGCGAAATCGTTGGAGGAAATGGTGTCAACAGTAGTTATTCTACTGCATGGTAGTTAATCAGCCGGTATGAAGGTTATATTCAATTCCTATCAAATAAATTTGACAAAATATCATACACAGGCAGAACTAAATAAAGAAATAGATAGATATATACACGTAGTTATAATACATTTATAATGTTGTATTTACAAATTCAAATTGTACAATTGTGTTATGGTGTAGTCTCAAATTATTTTGAATTCTCTTAGAAAATTTTAAACGTTTTACTACACTATATATACTAGTTATTTTTATCAACAATTTAAAAATTTTATCAATAATTAAAAAAAAATTTCAAATTGATTTCATTGCGATATCGATAATGATTTTTGTGACCTGACTGATTAAAAAGCATCAAAGAAAGTTAAAATAGTATGGAGAATTTGTTATATTGGGATATTCGTTTAAAAAGCGAGCAAAATTTTAATATAAAAGCGCTTATAAATCTATGCATATTGGCTCAGCTTGGCTTGGCTCGGATTGGAATCGGTGTTAAGCAAGGTGTGGTCTTAAACTATTTTGAATTCTCCCCGAAAAATTTGAACTGCGTGCGTACATATATAGCAATAATTACTGTTGTTTTTATAATGAATTTATAAAATATATAAATATAGCGAGTAAAATTTTAACATAAAAGCGCTTATAAATCTATGCATATTGGCTCGGCTTGGCTTGGCTTGGAATCGGATGTTAAGCAAGGTGTGGTCTCTAACTATTTTGAATTCTCCCCGAAAAATTTGAACTCATATTGGATTGGCTCGGCTTGGAATTTTATCGGCTAGGCTCAGCTTGAGAGTCAAGCCGTATATAAAGATTTAAATTATACAATTGATGTTAGGCAAGGTGTGGTCTCAAAACTATTTTGAATTTCCTCCAAAAATTTGTAGCACAGATTACTGTTGTTTTTATAATGAATTTATATAATATAAATAAATAAATATATATATATATTTAGATAAATAAATATATATATATATATATGTACATATATATATATATATATATATATATATATATATATATATAGACAGCAGATTCAGCCAGCCAATATATAATATATCCATTTATATTCATGAATACAGCAGATTCAGCCAGCCAATCAGAAAGTTTCGAAGGCGAAGGTCAATTTAGTACTGTTAGCATTGTAGATAAGACTGTTCAATAGTGTAGTACATTCATTAAATAGGTTTTTTACTGATGTGAATGATTAAAATGATGAGGATGTATGGTTGGAGCGAGTATAAATAGGAGCTGAAAAAGCATGAAAATCAGATCAGGCATTCTGCCTCGCTTAAGGCTTGAAGCGGTCTGCCTGATCTCATTTATTTTATTTATTTTTTATTTATTTTATTATATAGAGTTATATATAGTTGCGCGGGCTATATATGTCTGTCTGTGGTTTGTATGTTTGTATTTTGTACTTTTTTAATTTTGGGTGGGTTCTTTAGCGGTTGCTCATACATACATACATACATCATGTTTGTTTGTGTGGTAGTATTTTATGTTCTGTTTTACTCCTTTTTCTTTTTCTTCATGAGTCTTGAGTTAAGTTAATGAAACATAGGTAGGTGAGATTAAAAATTAATTTATTATATAGGTAGGCTAGGGCATAAGGTAATTTAGTTACATAGGTAGGTTAAGGACTTCTATTCTTTTACTCTAATTGGTGGTGTGTTTTTTGTTTTGTGTTTTTTTTGTTTTGTTTCACACGATACACTCTACAGGTACGCGGTGGTTCCTGGTTTTAGTGGGATTTTTATTGATTGAATGTAGTAGTATGCATGGTTATATAGAGTTATATAGAGTTATATAGAGTTATATAGAGTTATATAGAGTTATATAGAGTTATATAGAGTTATATAGAGTTATATAGAGTTATATAGAGTTATATAGAGTTATATAGAGTTATATAGAGTTATATAGAGTTATATAGAGTTATATAGAGTTATATAGAGTTATATAGAGTTATATAGAGTTATATAGAGTTATATAGAGTTATATAGAGTTATATAGAGTTATATAGAGTTATATAGAGTTATATAGAGTTATATAGAGTTATATAGAGTTATATAGAGTTATATAGAGTTATATAGAGTTATATAGAGCATAAATCCTATATAAATACCTTTCTTTGCTCTTCTTTTCTCTTTTCTTTGCCGACCGGTCGGTTTCTTTGCGGTTATTTTCATTTAAATTGAATAAATAAGATTTTTCCATTCATTTAGGTTTTTCAGGTTCATTTATCCAGGTTGAAGCTTCCAGAGGAGTTCATCGTGGACGATCAGAATGGTTGTGATGTCACGCTACGTTCGTTCATTCGGTGGCAAAGAATGCAAGCCCTGCTAGGGTACGTTTTACGGTTTCTTTGCGGTTCTTTTTTTGCCAGTTGGCTAGCTTTTCCGGCGGGTTTCACCGCGGCTCGTTTTTCTATTTTCATTTAAAATAGTCAAATAAATAAGATTTTTCCATTTTATTCAGGTTGAAGCTTCCAAAGGAATTCATCGTGGAAGATGTCAGGCTACGTTCGTTCATTCAGTGGCAAAGAAGATACGCCTGGCTGGGATACGTTTTATTCTTTTTTCCTGTTTTTTTCTGTAATTTAACATTAAGTAAGAATGCTCACACGCACATACACACAATTACATTAAGTAGCTATATAGGTAGGTCAGATAGGCATAATTTTAATTGTAGGTAGGATAGATAGGAAGCATCCAACACTAATGTAGTTGAATTGGTAGGCAGCGTAAGTTTATCTCTTCTATTTTTTCTCGCACCCACATTACACGCATCAGCCTATTATACACACACACACACAAACACATACATAAACACATATTAGTATTTGAGCGTTATTTTATTTTCCTTACACATTCTAATTTATTATTACTAAGGTTGAGAGTAATTTAATTTCATAGGTAGTTAAAAGCAATAATTTAATTCTAGGAACAATCTTGTAATTTAAATTAAATAAACGCTGTAAGTGTATCGAAAGGTAAGTTAGTTATTAAGTTTTACATTATTATTATTAGGTTGGAGCCCAAGGCATTACGTAGGTGGTGGGGTGGGTGCCGAAAGGCCAATGAATTGGGCTCTTGAGTTTTGTAATTTTAGGTAAGCTAGGGCCATAATGTAATGAATAGGTAAGTTAAGGCTACGTTGTAACACACACTCATTAATAGATTTAGGGTTTAAGTTTTATATTATTACTAAGTTGGAGCCCAAGGCATTACGTAGGTGGTGGGGTGGGTGCCGATTGGCAAATGAATTGGGCTCTTGAGTTTTTTTGTAATTTTAGGTAAGCTAGGGCTTAATTGTAATGAATAGGTAAGTTGAGGGTACGATAGCCGATAGACTCTGAATTTCGAAGTCTGGTGTCAGAGGTAAGCCTTGGTGGCCAGTGGTGAACCGGCAATGGTTTACTATCCGGACGGCAATGGTTTACTATCTGCACGGTAATGATTTACCATGCGGCACGGCCATAGTCTACTACCCGCACGGCTTCCGGACGGCAAATGGTTTACTATCCGCACGGCAATAGTCTACTATCCGCACGGCAATGGTTTTCTATCCGGTGCCCTGGCTGTCGGTGAACCTCTGTGCAAGGAGGAAGAATGAAGGGGGACTTTCGACTATCGTACCATTAACAATTTAATATAGATTAGTTAAGGTAATTGAATAGGTAGATAGGATTATTTTTATTAAACAATTTGAGATGCAGGCACCGCTAACCTTTCTGATGAGAATCTATTCTTTTTCTATCTTTCTCCATCAACACGGGCTGTGTTTCAACAACAACCTCGAGGAGGACTGGCACCAGTTTTGGAGGACAACGTAGGAACCGGACCGCACTCAACATTCTGCCTTTGTCGAATGGACAACGGTAAGTTTTTTTACATTTTACTTACTTTATTATTTTAAAATTTTATTTATTTGACATTATTTTCATTTTATAATTTAATTTTTTTTGCTTCTAAGATTCTAACATTCATTTACTACTACGCAAATAATAAAATTTTGTTTACAGAATGATGAGAGGTGGGCAGTGGTGGGAGTCAGCACGTTTTGGATGGTGGTCTCATGATGATTTACATATGATGATGGTGGTGTAGGAAGAATCAGCTCGTTGGCTGTTCGACTGACACTCTGAAGTTCGGATGGTATGTTGTGTGCCGACCAGATGGTGGTGGTCGGTGCAATGGAAAGTACAGTAACGACGATTTTTGAAGTAAGGTTTAGTTTCGTTTTTTATTTTTCTCATTCGTTCATTTTATCACTCAACCTTTTAAATTATTCTTCTATTAATTGATTCGCTAATTCATTCTATTCATTAATTGAATCATTGATTTATTAATTCATTCATTCATTCATTCAACCAATTATTCAATCATTCAGTTAATCATTTATTCGATCGTTCCTTTGTTTCTTGATTTACTAATACGCTATTAAAAAAATGTCTACAGAATGATCAGAGGTGGGCTGTGGTGGGCATCAGCACGTTTCAGATGGAGGTCTCATGATGATCGTTCCGATGACAATTCGAAGATAGCAACAACGACGGTTTTTGAAGTATGATTTAGTTTCTTTTTTTATTTTTCTCATTCATTCATTCATTTTATCACTATCTTTCAAGTTATTCCTCAGTTACTTTATTCATTGATTCATTCTATTCATTCATTAAATCATTGGTTGATTAATTAATTAGTTAATTTATTCATTCAACCAATCGTTCAATCATTCAGTTAATCAATTATTCGTTCGTTCCTTTGTTTCTTGATTTACTACTTCGCTAATTAATAAAAACTTGTCTACAGAATTATGAGAGGTGGGCTGTGGTGGGCGTCAGCCCGTTTCAGATGGTGGTCTCATGATGATCGTTCCGATGACAAATCGAAGATAATGTTAAAGGTAAATTTGTTTTTGTCTCATTGTACCTTTGAAAGTACTCGAATTTGAACAAAGATTAAGTGTTATCTCAAAAAGATAAGTTGCCTATTTTTTCCAATTGCTTGTTTTTTATTTTAGTGAATTTTTTTTTCAATTTATTTTTCAGTATCCGGTCAAATTCATTCCATCGATGCGTGTCAGATGATGGTCGGTGCAATGGAGGTTCGTCGGTAGTGAGTGAAGTTTCTGGAGAGTGCGCGCCCACACATTTACATACACACACATCAATACAACACATACATACACAACATCCATTCATTCGGTGTCGTTGTTGCTATGTTTCTCTTCAACTTTACCGTGAACCGGGCTTTAATTTAATTCATAGGTAAGTTAGGGACTGAGATGAGTTAAACAATTGTAGGTAGGCTAGGGCTTAACATTAGTTAAAAAGCTTCAAGTAAAATAAAAACGCTAAAATATGTTAAATAAAATACTTGAAACATCTAAAACGAGAAATACAAATTTGTAGGTAAGTGAGTTGAGTCAATGTTTATAAGTAAGCTAGGGCCCTGAAAGTAATTTTATTATAGGTAGGTGACCGACTATTATTCTTGCGACTTCTTACTAGTTTTGTGTGATGTGTTTGTTTTCGCTTCACGACACCACACCAACAAGACAAACTACATTTCATTCTCGTCGTCGCCTTAAATTGTACCTTTTTGAACAATCTTTTTAATAATGTCTATTTATTTATTCATTAAATGTTGACTGGTTTCTAGTTTTTTTAAAAATTGGTTATGTAATTTTTGGATATTTCTTGATTTACTTTGTATATATGCATGTATAAATTATTTCTGTTTAGTATGTTGATTTAGTCATTATGATATGTTGTGAACTGTTCTTACTAAATGTTCATGTTACGTGGTTTATTATCCTTCGAGAACTTCTAAGGAGTGTGTATGATAATAATAATAATAATGGATAATAATTATTTTTATCGGTCGATATTTTGTTATATTTGTTTATTTAAAATACGAATTTAAAAAAATGACATTTTAAAATTTTAATTAACCGTCACTTTTCATTTTTGAATGAATTCAAATAAAAGCAACTACTGTGTTTTTCTTTCTTTACTAAAATCTCGAAATTGTTTGTAGATCTGTACGGTTAACTGTTTGTTCGAGTTTGAACAGGACCTGCAAATTTTTTATTTTTGTTTATTTGGTTCATTCAATTTAGTTGATTGATTGATCGGTTGATTGATCGGTTGGTTGATTGACTGACAGACAGACTGACTGACTGGCTGGCTGGCTGGCTGGCTGGCTGGCTGGCTGGCTGGCTGGCTGGCTGACTGACTGACCGACCGACCGACTGACTGATTGTTTGATTGATTTATCTCATAGTATTGTATATATGAGATAAAATCCGATTAAGCCAACCTACGGCTTCAGTAAGCCACTGTTTTTCACCTGACAAAAGCAATTTCTATATTTATACTGACAAAAATAGTTGTGATATGAATATATTGATTTATTTAAAGCATTATATGTACAAAAAAGTGCTATCGTAAGAGTTGTATGAAACCCTGTAAGCCACTGCTGTAAGCCAACGTATGATTTCAGCAGCCAGTTTCTTATGAGCACTAGCAGAATGTAAAATATTCATTGAATATAATGAAGATAGTTGTTCAAATAACAATTTTGATTTATTTAGGCCGTTTATTTCATAAGCAAACCAATTTTTAACATGATCGAATAGTGTAAAAAAAAGGGTGACTATAGTTCAATCCTACTAAGCCAACCTTCGGCTTCAGTAAGCCACCGGATTTCACCGGACCAAAAGCAATTTTTATATTCAAATTAACAAAAATAATTTAATAATACATAATTCTATCAATCATTATTAAAATTAAATAGAATTACTACAATGTTTTAAGCATATTAAATCAAGTAAATATTTCATTTAGCTTGCTCGTTAAAATCCATGCAATTTCGTAAGCCAACAATCCAAGCACGACAAATAGCCCGACCGATAGATCGAATTGATCGATTAGTCCTATTATTCTAGTTATGTGGTTTGGAGCAAGGGGAGACATTACTGAAAATAATTAAAAGTTGAAAAAATTGAGGTTCTTTGCATATCCCTGCTTCAACCCATAACTCTTGCACTGGCTACCTATAAAATATAGAATAATTTTTAAAATTTGCACGTTCATGTATAAGTCTCAATCTAAATTATTTCCTAAGTATTTATCAGATATATTAATTGAACCTAAACGCCCCGGTTTACGATCGTCTTCTTCTTCTCGCTTTTTCTTAACTCGTGTTAAACACTCTTTTGCCAAATCTGTTTTTGCTTTTTCTGGTCCTTTTCTCTGGAACTCTATACCTACTTCTCTGACTACTTCTCCATCACTTGCGAAGTTCAGAGCGGATCTCAAGACCCATCTGTTTTCAAAATTCATTGAGGAGCGCTGTTGAACATCGCGGAAATAGCGCTTTATAAGCTAATTGATTGATTGATTAATTGAAGAAGGTGTTGTATGTTGGTAAATAGGCCTCCCCTTGATATATACAATGTGGATGGTCTTGGATTGTTGGAAAATTAAAATATTGAAAATTCACCAGCCCATCTTCATTTCTTATTCAGTCAAAAGTGAACTAAGCTCAAAGATAAACACAAAAATCAACAGAAAGTATTAATCAATGGGCGTGTATAGTTTGAATTAGTGACGCAGTTTTCAGAAAAATTTGTCACTATTTTCAATTAAAATTAATAATAAATCGCTTATTTGAAAGTTTAAAAAATGAGTTCAAAATCAGCGAAAAAATGTGGCGAGCAGCAGAAGATCCGATGCTACAGTGTGACCGACCCCTCGCTGCACCCACGCGGCCACACAGTCTACAAAGTCGTCGAGAAGGTTTTCTAATTTTTACTCTTCTTTTTCCTCTTTTAATTTTGCTGAATTTTTAACCTTCAATTTATTATTCGATCGATTTATTGTGATTTTTGGTTGCCTGTAGGGGCATAGGTAGAGTGTAGAGTAGAGTAGAAAAAAAAAGATAGCACCATATCATCATATAACACATATGTAAATAATAAATATGTATGTAGTTGCATGAGGAAAAAAATGCATGAAAATTTTTTTTAACTTTATTTTCATAATCTGCAACCCATTAGCAACCTAATGAGCCCAAATTTTTATATATACACCAAAAACTGACATATTAATAGTTACAGCAACTTTAAGAATGTAAAAAATTTGTTTACCACAGCATGCACTTGTTTGCAAATTTGTCTATGTTCATTCGTTTGTCTATGTTCATTCAGTAATTCATTCATTCATTTTATATATAGTAGTAGTAGAGATCTGTCGTACCTAGCCCAGCCTGCTAAATTAAAATAATTAAAATAAATAAAACATTTAAGTAGATAATTTAAAATGAATGAATAAAACACAAAAAATTAAATGAATTCATTGAATGAAAATAAATTAATGAATCAAAAGTAATTTAATTTATTAATTAAATGAATTGAATGAAAACAAATAAATGAATAAATAATAAGAAATTTATGTGGTTTATTTAGTTTTAAAAATATATTTCTTTTATTATTTAATTTTAATTTATATTTGGTTATCCATTTCTTTTTCATATTTTAAATTACAGATCTTGGATGTCAATGCATTTGATGAAGCTCAAAAAGAAGTTGGTCTATAAAATTAAAATTTTTAATTATTTATTTATTTATTTTATTCATTTATTCAATCATTGATTCATTCGTTAATTAATTCATTTTTCATTCATTTGTTCAATCTTTTGTTCACTCATTTGTCTATTATATTAATTAATTTATTTATTCAACTTAGTTAGTTTTTTCATGGGGATTAATTTAATTCATTCATTCATTTATGATTTATCTATTCATTCTTCCATTCATTCATCCATTCATTCATTCATCCATCACATTCATTCATTTGAATTATATAACTTTTTTTTCAAATATTATCACCACAATCAGTCGATAACTTGGAAGAGGTACAATGAATTTTACAAACTCTACCTCAGTATGTCAACACTCCACAAGCTGCTTCATAGGAGGGAGGAGTTTCCTGATTTTCCTAAACCTAATGCTTTTGGTTAGTGAAGATGGCCGCCATTTGGTTTGATGGGGTGCAGTGGAGATGTCATAAAATAGGGATGTGATGTAATGGAGATGTCATAAAATGGGGATGTGATGTAATGGAGATGTCATAAAATAGAGATGTGATGGAGATGTCATAAAACAGGGATGTGATGTAATGGAGATGTCATAAAATAGGGATGTGATGGAGGTGTCATAAAACAGGGATGTGATGTAATGGAGATGTCATAAAATAGGGATGTGATGGAGATGTCATAAAACAGGGATGTGATGTAATAGAAATGTCATAGTGATGTGATGTAATAGAGATGTCATAAAATAGGGATGTGATGGAATGGAGATGTCATAAAATAGGAATGTGATGTAATGGAGATGTCATAAAATAGGGATGTGATGTAGTGGGGACGTGATGTGCTGCAATATGGATGTGAGGTTGTACTGATGTAATGTGATGGAATGCATCCTGTTAGTGAAGATGGCAACCTTTTATTTTGATGTCCGTAGTAGTGATGCGATGGAATAGGAATGTGCTGTAGTGCTGATGTACTGGATTACGACTTCATTGTGATATGATGGGGTGTGTAATGTAATATGTAATGGTAATGTAATATGTAATGCGTAATGTAATATGTAATGCAGTGGTGATGTGATATAGTAATGTGATATAATGTTATGTGATATAGCGTGTAATGTAATGATAATGCGATATAGTATGTAATGTAATAGAATGGTGATATGATATGTAATGTAATGATGATGTGATACGTAATGTAAGGATGATGTGATATATTACGTAATGTAATGTGATGTAATGATGATGTGATATAGTACGTAATGTGATGTAATGTGATGTAATGATGATGTGATATAGCACGTAATGTAATTTAATGTGATGTAATGATGATGTGATACAGCACGTAATGTAATTTAATGTAATGTAATGATGATGTGATATAGTACGTAATGTAATGTAATGATGATGTGATATAGTACATAATGTAATTTAATGTAATGTAAGGATGATGTGGTATAGCATGTAATGTAATAATTATGACCATTTATCCTAGCGAGGTTTGACGAGTGCGTGATAAAAGACCGAATGCAGAGTTCGCAGGACCTTCTCAACTTCATCGGCCAGAGGCACTACCTCGTTAACAGCAAGCCATTTCAGCAGTTTTTCAGAGTTAGCGTGTCTTGTTTTTTTTTTTTCTTTTTTTTTGTTATTTGAGTATTTTTGGATTGTTTGATGGTTTATTTGTATGGTTGTTTGATTGAATGAATGGATGACTGATTGATTGTATGAATGGATTGATTGAATGAATGGATGACTGATTGACTGAATGATTGGATTGATTGAATGATTGATTGGATGGATGGATTGATTGATTGATTGAATGAAAGAGCGACTGATTGATTGAATGAATGGGTTGATTAAATGGATAGATTGAATGGATGGATGACTGATAGATTGAATGAATGGAATGATTGACGATTCAATGAATGGATTGATTGAATGTTTGATTGATTGAATGAATGATTGAATGGTTAATTGATTGGTTGATTGAATTAATAAGTGATTGATTGATTGTTTTTTTTGTGGGTTATTCAGGATGCAGTAGCATTAACGGCAGAATCGCCTCACTCCGATGGCGATTTGCCGCCGCCGCTACAACCAGCCACAACTTCCGTGACGTCATCGTCGTTACTCACACCATCAACACCAACGTCACCAGCTACGTCATCTTCGACGTCAACAACAACACCTTTACTGACGTCATCTTTGACAACAGCAACAACAACAACATTAACTGCAACGACTTCAACTACATTAACCAAACCACAAATCACAACAACGTCTAGGATGACATCAAGTTTTAATGCGTTGGTGGGAAATTTTTTGTGGTCTAAGTTAGTATTTGTTTGTTTGTTTTTATTGGTTTGTTTGTTTGTATTTGTTTGTTTGTTCAATTTTTATTATCATTGCTGTTGTTGTTAATTGGTTTGGTTGGTTGGTTGGTTTGTTTGTCTGACTGTCTATCTGTCTGTCTGTCTGTCTGTCTGTATGTTTGTTGTCATTCAGTTTGATCATTAACGTTTCATTAATTCACATAACAGCAGCAGCAACAACAACAACTGCAACAACAACAACTGCAACAACAACAATAGAACAATTATAAACAACTCTAAGACACAAAAATACTCCACTATCAGCACCACCACTTCTACACCGTCAGCTGATAATAATTACGATGATGATGACGACGATTTCTCATTCGTTAATAATGATGACGACGATGATGATGTAGATGATGATGGTCATAATAATAATAAAAATAATAATAATAAAAATAATAATAATTATTATGGTCTCTTATCAATGACTTATGATCCTATTCTCAATACAAACGCAACAACTACAACTACAACGACATCAACAGCAGCAGCTACAGCAACTACATCAACGACAACAACAACAGCAAATAATAATAATAATAATAATATGATTGATAATCAATCACTCGACTCGTTGGTTGATGGCTCGAATGTGTCAATCAACTCTTTCATTAACTTTCCTCCTATGAAAATGTCTGCAGTTGATTACAAGTTTTGTTTTTCTTCGAAGATGTCAATTTTTTGGTGTCATTAAAATTAATGTTGTGTCTTGTAATCAACTATGCCCCTCATTCACTCATTCATTCATTCATTCATTCATTCGTTCATTCATTCATTCATTCATTCATTTATCCATCATTGAATTAATTATTTATTTTATCATTCATTCATCAATTCATTTATTAGTTTGTTTGTGTATGTTTTTTTAATAAAATTTGATCAGGGTTTAACCCTAACTCTAACTTTTCAACTGGCCACTCAACCAATCAATCAATAGTTTGTTAATTTATACATTTGCCTGTTCATTCATTCATTCATCCATTCATTCATTCATTCATTCATTCATTTCCTAATTGAACCAACCATCTAACTAACCAACCGTTGTTTTAATCAAGTTAATCAATCAGTCAGTCAGCCATCTAATCAATCGACCTATCAGCCAACTAAACAATCAACCAACCAACCAGCCAACCAATCAAACAACCAATCAATCAGCCAACCAACCAACCAATCAGCCAACCAACTAGCCAGTCAACCAATCAATCAACCAACCAGTCAACCAACTAACCAATCAGCCAACCAACCAGCCAGTCAACCATCTAACCAACCAACCAACCAACCAACCAATCAATACAGTCCTACTGACAGGTCGTATTCTGTTGATAACTTGGTGACATTAAACATCAACAATAACAGCAGCAACAACAACAACATCAACCAACATTCCAATAACACTGATAATAATTATTATGGAGATGAATACGACGACGATGACGACGAATACCACAACATCAGCAACATCAAAATGAGAGCCAAGTGTCACGGCATCAATCCAATCGGTCAGTTTGTCTCGATTAATATTTATATTAGAGCCAATCAGAGGCAAGGAAGCGAGGGGCTTACAAACAAACCCCACCCCCTTTCTCTCAACCAATCATTTTTTTTATAAATTTCTTTAAATTTTGATGCTTAATGTTTTGTTAATATAAATTAATAATAATTGACATAAATTAACATTGATTAGCATTAATAAATTGTATTTTTTTAGCAAATTTTTTCTCTTCAATGTATTTCTTCAGATGTTTTAACAACAGCAGACACAAAGGCATTTAGGCATCTTAAAAATTTAGCCCTGGCAAACTAACATGCATGTCAGTATTTCAGTGCATGTTGCTTACGCCATTGTATCGAATTTTTAATCCATATAAGTTGAGACAATTTATATATATTCTCTTCTGATTGTATTCAATTACGGTTAATTAATGCTAATTTATGTCAATTATGATTAATTAATATTAATTAAATGTTGCCTTATGTTGATCAGTTTAATGTGAAACGTATTTTGATTAGCTTTATTTTGCCAGAAGTTATTTTAACAATGATTTATCTATAGAACAGTGTGTTGGCAGATCTGTTAAAAATAGGTAAGTTTTATGAAAACTTTATAAATAGATCGACATGCTTACAACTGTTGTATGTGTATGTATGTATGTATGTATGTATGTATGTATGTATGTATGTATGTATGTATGTATGTATGTATGTATGTATGTATGTATGTATGTATGTATGTTAAAACCAAAACATGATGAGTGACACTGAACCGTCAAACATCAAGTAACAAATGGATTAACACTTTGATTTGTCGTTAATTGCACATGTCGGCATTCAGTTGGATATTTTCAAGCACACAGACACGCAGGAACCGCTGCAACAAGCACGAAATGTGGTTGGTTGCAAAAAACAGTTCCCTGCTGTCGCCTGATCTGAAGCTGATCATTTTGCATATTGCCTTAAGAAATTGTATGTATGTATGTATGTATGTATGTATGTATGTATATGTATGTATATGTATGTATGTGATGCTAATTAAGCCGACGCGAAACTCTATAAATAAAAAGCTTGGAGGAATTTTTTTCAAAAAATTTGATAAGTCTTTTTTTTCCTACAAAATTTCAGAAACAGAAAAACGCGCTCCTCCTACTACTTACAACAAAACAAACAGCATCGCCAGTACCAAAAACTTCAACAAACCACTACAACAACAAATAACCAACAACAACACCAACAACAACACCAACAACAACAACAGCAGCAACAACAACAACAGCAGCAACAACAACAACAGCAGCAACAACAACAACAACAGTAGCAGCAGCAAATCATTTTCTCCAATCCGAGCGCTATTTCAGAGTGGCAGCAGAAGATTCAAAGATCTCTTGTCTGTCTCATTCCACGCTGGCTCCAGCACACAGCAATCAAACGATGATGTGGTATTGACGTTGTTGTTATTTCGTTTGATAATATGATGGTATCATATGGTGATATGATGGTACCACTTGATGATATGACGGTATCACTTGATGATATGATGGTATCATATAGTGATATGACGGTATCACTTGATGATATGACGGTATCACTTGATGATATGATGGTATCATATGGTGATATGATGGTATCATTTGATGATATGATGGTTTTATATAGTGATATGACGGTATCACTTGATGATATGATGGTATCATATGGTGATATGACGGTATCACTTGATGATATGACGGTATCACTTGATGATATGACGGTATCATATGGTGATATGATGGTATCATTTGATGATATGATGGTATCATATGGTGATATGATGGTATCATTTGATGATATGATGGTATTATATAGTGATATGACGGTACCACTTGATGATATGATGGTATCATTTGATGATATGATGGTATCATATGGTGATATGACGGTATCACTTGATGATATGATGGTATCATATGGTGATATGATGGTACCACTTGATGATATGACGGTATCACTTGATGATATGATGGTATCATATGGTGATATGATGGTATCACTTGATGATATGATGGTATCATATGGTAATATGATAGTATCATTCTCAGAGGTATCATACTCACGGGGTATTAACATATCACACACACGTTTCGGGGATCTGTTTGCGTTTGAACCTGGTCATTGCAATACTGGACCAACTGGACCAAGCGATTTTAACCATTGTACTAACTATTCCGCCACACTTTTTGTGCTAATTTATAATTCGTTTAGTTGTGGTGTCTGTCATGTTTGTGTGGTATGGTGCAAATTGTTACGTTTGAAATTAAAAAACAAATTGAAACAACTCTCATGGTCCGACCGACCGTAGGACCGGCCCTCGCAGCAGCAACAACGGCAACAAACTACCCCTTCAATTTGCACTAGCATGAGTACCAACAGTCTCAACAGAAACAACAGCAGCAACAAGCCCGCCATTGCCTACTACTTCAGAAACAACAACGCCAGCGGTAGCCACACCAGCCACATCAACAACAGCAGTAGCCACACCAGCTACAGCAAACAAATGAAAGCAGCTGCATTGTGGAAGGTTCAGGCGGCCCATTTCGTCACCACCCTCCAGAACAAACCTTACATCGTTGAGGCCGCCCAACTTCTCAAGAATGCCAAGGTCAGGGGATTTTCATTTTCTTTTTTTTTTGCAGTTCTTTTGTGGACTGTCCTGAAATAAAACAGGATGTAACTGATGCACGAATCCGGCCCCGGTCGGATTGCTGCTTGTAAGTCCGGCTAAAACCGGATTTCAAAAAAGTCGGTCCAATCCTGTACATCCCTAAATTATAATAATAATAATAATGATAGTAATAATATTAATAGTAATAATAATAATAATATAATTATGAAAATATTAAGATGAAGGAAGCTGATGACGAGTACGAAGCGTCATTCGCCCTCTACAAGGCTGCCATTGCCGTGCTAATTAATGGCGCGCAAGGTTTGTGATGATGACGATGATGACGACGACGGCGATGATGATGATGATGATGGTAATGATGATAATGATGATGACGACGTGGATAATGATGATGATGAAGATGGTGATGATGATGACGATGATGATAGTGGTGATGATGACGATGACGTTTATGGTGGTTCTGTTGCTATCCTTGCTATCTATCCACCTATCTATCTATCTGTCTGTCTATCTATCTAACCATCCATCCATCCATCCATCTATCTATCTATCTATCTATCTATCCATCGATCTATCCATCCATCCATCTATCTATCTATCTATCTATCTATCTATCTATCTATCTATCTATCTATCTATCTATCTATCCATCTATCCATCTATCTATCCATCTATCTTTCTATCTATCCGACCAGATGACGAGGACATGGAGTGTGTGGATTTCGTGAAGGGTAAGATATCAAAGTACTTGAAGAAATCTGAGGAGATGAGTAGATTGCACCTCAACTATCACCACCTGCCACTCCATCACCACCGTCATGAACCGCGTTATCTTCATCTAAAGGTTGGGTGAATTGTCTGCATTGTCAGGGGTGGGCAAACTTTTTGCTGTGAGGGCCGCCTTAAGAACTATTTTACCTTTGAAGGGCCGCACGTGTGCTTAAATAGCAAATTTTTTCGACCAGGGGAGGACCTTTTTTTGGCAAACAAGGCCTTGCGGGCCGTAATTTGCCTACCCTTTGTCTAATGTTAATTGAAATATATATTTATATATGATATAAATATCAATCATTATTTTTATGTTTTTCAAAATTATCATTTTTATCTAACTGATGACGATGGTGATGATGCTTTTGGCGATGCACTATTTAAATTGATCAACTGTAACCCATTTTATACATTCATCATGTATGATGATGATGATGATGATGAGGATGAGGATATCTTCGCGTTCGAATCCGGTCAATACGATTTACGGTCAGGCACTTTTAACCATTACGCTATCGCATCGTCATTGTTTGTCTCCATGATCATGATCCTTATCATACAAGAGTTAGTTATATCATCATCTGCCTCGTCGACATAGCATCATCGTTATTTTTTTTATAACGGATGTCTTTATTTAGCCACAAAAAATGAATGAACCACGAACGCAGGCTAACATGGATGACCTTGAAAACTTCAAGGTCATCGGGGTCGTTGAGAAGGTCATGCTGGTGAAAGATAGTAGGAAGAAAGCTGATGATGATTCTACTACTTATGTCATTAAAGTTGGTCGCGTGTGTATGTGCGTGCGTACGTGGGTGTGTAAGATGATGATATTTTCCTGATGTGAACCTGACGCGTCTGTAGGGCGGGCGTGTGTGTCTTGCATGTGGAATGTACTTGGAGTTATCTTCTCCATCTCACCTCTGCTTGCTGTAAGATAAACTTTTTTCTTTCTGCCTCGCTTTTTTTCCAACATCCTTCTCTTTCTCTTTCTTCCTTTTTCTTTCTCTCTCTCTCTTTTCCTCTCTCTCTCTCTTTCTCTCTCTCTCTCTCTCTCTCTCTTTCTCTCTCTCTCTCTCTCTCTATTTTATTCTTTTATTCTTTTTCTCTCTTTTTCTATTTTTTCTCCAACTCAAAGTAACTTGTGGATAATCGTCATCACTCAACATTCACACAAACACACACACACACGCACACACACACGAACAAACATTGTCAGTTGAAAGCATTTTCGCACCACCACCAAACAGGCCTACCACAAAAGTGGCGTGCCTCCCGCACCTTCCCACGCCACCCTCCTCCCCACCAACATCCCCAACATGGCCGCCGTCTTGAATTATTTTGAAAACGAGACTGCCTACTTTGTCCTCTTGTCCTTCGTCTCTGGGGGACCCCTCTGGCCGCGTTTGGGTGAATACTCTACAATGAACAGGGATGTGCTTGGGGATAATAATAAAAATAATAATAATAGTAATAATAATAATTGTAATAATAATAATAATAATTGTAATAAGGATAGTTGGCTATCGGTGAGCAAAGATGATGATGATGATGATGATTTCTTTAATGAAAGTGATGATTTGAAGGGAAGAAGAAATTACAACAACAGCACCATTAACAACAACAACAACAACGCAGAAGATAAGAAGTTTATTGATGTGATGGTGGGCAGTGATGTCTTCAACATGCCAGATGTCCACAACAACAACAACGACAACAACAACTTTGATGTTGTTTGCAGTGTTGACGAGAGTACGTTCTACAGCAGCAAACATCAACAACAAACACGTTCCCTCTCGGCCACGAGTTACGACAACGTCCACCAACAACCACAGCCATACCAGCAGCAACAGCAGCATCGCAGAACAGACTCCGTCGCGAGCAACACAGATTCACTGAACTTTGATTTCCAGTATTTGTTGCAGAAGCATTCGCAACAGAGTACAATCAGCATGTTCAGTATCAACAGTTCGGGCAGCGAGCAAACGCCGTCGGTCAAATCCTTCAAGGACACAAGCAGGTTGCTGTTACAATCGGATGTTGTTGAGGAAGTTTGCGAGGTTGTTGATAAGCAACCGACCAATCAGGTAGGTTGCACATCAGCCGACCGAACCTCTCCTGCGAATGCAGTTGAAGAAGGATTGCTGATTGACCTGTCGCCTGATGACCAAACTGACCAGCAATTGAATGATTCGGTCGCTTTGATTGCTTCTTCTGATTTATTAGCTCCAATGGAAGTGGCCACAACAACTTCAGTGGCCACAACAACTTCAGTGGCAGCAACGTTTACATTAGCATCATCAACAACAACAACGACATCTTTAGCAACAATAGCATCGACGAATGTAACAACGACAACGCAATCAACATCAGCTGAGACATCTTCACAACCTGCAGATGATAACACATTCTTAACAACATCATCGTCTTCATCAACATCATCGTCACAAGCGACAGCATCATCAACTTTAGCATCCTCATTGTCCTTATCTTTATTATCATCTTTCGTCACGACGACAACATCAGCACTCACATTAACATCAGTCCAGACTCTACCGTCACCACGTCCAGCCGTGCCCTCTCCCCTATCATTGCCACCACCCCCACCAGCAGCATCATCATCATCACCACCGCCCCATCATCAGTTGAGGATGAACAGACCACACATGCCTCAATCATTTTCTTGCACCCAACTTTCTGTCGATGTCGCCAAGTGCGATAAATATTTCTCAACAAATGTTGACAGCGTTAAGAAACGACTCTCAACAAATTCAGAAGTCCTCAACAATGTTGCGGTGCCTGAAAATGTCGCGAAGTTGTTGCTGGCAGATGTCGTTGTTGCCCTGGCTGGGCTGCATTCGGCTGGCGTCGTCTGCAGGGATTTGAACCCGGGCAATCTGCTACTAAACAACGAAGGTCGTGTCATCTTGACCTACTTCTGCCAGTGGAGTGACGTCACAAGACGCCTCAGCCAATCAGCCGTTGAGAACTATTTCGTAGCTCCGGAACTTTCCAATCCCTTCTACTATTCAAACAGCAACGCATGTGATTGGTGGAGTTTGGGAGCCCTCATGTTTGAAATGCTGGCGGGGGAGAGTCTGAAGCAGAGTCAGCCGTGCGGCATCACTCGCCATAGCATGGACATCATTCCAAGTTATCTGTCGCCGGACGCTCAATCGCTATTGAAGCAACTTCTGGTGTGCACTCCGACCGAGAGGATCGGATTGAATGGGATCATGTCGCATTCCTTCTTCAGTGGCATCAACTGGAATGAGATGATGACGAAGAGCGGGAATTGAGATCCAGTGAATGCTTTGTTGTTTTGCTTTGAGTCCTGTAAAAAGTATCATCTTGTTCGTTCATGTTTCAACTTCGTCGTTTTTAACATCAGTAACATCATGCTGCATCCGTTGTCTGCATCCGTTAAGTGGTGCGTGTGCCATTCTATCGCCATATCTCACTGTTCACTTTTACCAAATGAAACCGACGATGATTTTTACGAGAATTTCTTTTTAGTTAAAATTCCTGTTGATCGTGCCTGTAGCGTAATGGAACGCTGTTATTGATTTCATTCTTGCCCATCCTTTTGTGCTTAACTTATGACTCTGTGGCTTCATTTTCGTGGTCGAGTATTCATTTATTAATTCTCGATGGATCGTTACGTCTGTTTTAATTCGCGTTTATTTTATTTTATTGAAAATATTCCAGGAAATTTTTAAATGTGCATAAATGACGTTTTACATCATTTGGCTTGTTTTATTCTGCCTGCTACTCATTTCATATGTCTCTCTCCCTGTTTAGATGACCATGTGCAACACACACACATACATACACACGCACATACACACGCACACATACAACCAACCCTCACACACACAAACACAACACACACACACACAAGAAACAGGGTTTCATTCATACCAAATTTATCATTATAGCAATACATGGATAATGAGCTAGAATCCGTTTGCATGCGAACCCAGCAACCTCGAGACAAGAGACAGCCACCTTACCACTACGCCATCCTTTTTCTTAAATTAACATCTTGTCTGGTTAGCATAAAGAATGTGTGTCAATTTGTTATTAATTTCTAAGTGTTTCAATTTATCGATCAGTTAGAACCTAATAGTTATTGGTCAAACTGTTGAGATGTTGTATTCGTGCTCCAATCAAAATTATACAGAAACTATTCATATTATTTTATTTAATTATAGCTGTGTATATATATATATAATATACACACTCGCGCACACAAACACCATACATAATGACTTTTAATTTATTGTGCTAACATTGTTTGTACATGGGTATTCATGCTACAAATTTTTATCAGGATATAAGCGAGATTTAAGTTTTTGGTTATTTATTTGGTTGGTTGATTGATTGGTTGGTTGATTTATTGGTTGGTTGACTGATTGATTGATTGATTTTATTGATTGCTTTGTTGATTAGCTGGTTGATTTATTTATAGATTCATTCATTTCCTTTTGATTAACTTTTGATTGGTTGATGACTGATTGGTTGATTTATTGATTGACTGATTGATTGATTGATCGGTTGATTAATTGGTTGATTGATTGGTTGACTGACTGCTTGATCAACAAAATTATTTTCCAATGACTAACATTGACCGAGTTACACTCATTTTTTTTCCATATTTCTCACGCGTTCACATAATTTGTATTATATTAAACCTTACTCGTTCCTTAAACAAACGCACACACGCACATACCACACACACATACATACATACACACATCCCAGAATACGTATAATTCGGAAAAGTAACAATACATAGTTTGCATATAGCTTTTGCTTAAATTTACCAGTGCAATTCGCGATTTTTGGTAACTATGGTTATGACGTAACCTCCAAATGATGATGACGTCACTAAATTATTATTATTTTTTTATTATTATTATTATTATGACGTCATGACGAGAATCAAACCTGAGAAGGTCACAGACTAGTGACGATGATGGTAGTTTCTCCTCGATGACGAATAATTATGTTATAATTAATAATAATTAATTATAATTTATGACATAATTTTTTAGATATAGATGTAATAAAAACTGTTTGCTTGCATTAATGTGTGATAAATTTGTGGAATATATTAGTTTGTTTGTTTACCTATGTGGTTAATATTTATTACTTCGGGGTTTTTTAATATAAATATGTGTCGTTCGTTTGTCATGTGTTTGTAGATATATATACGTGCATGTGTTTTTGTATGTATGTGTGTATGTATATTTATAAGGTCGAGACTATCTTATATACAGTTGTTTAAAAATATCAGAGCATTGCAGGCCTTGTTCACTTAGTTACTGTGTGTTTTCCAAGACATCAAAAGCTATATAAACAGACACATAAAACAAAATCCGTGTTCAATAACACTGATGGTGACAAATGATTGTTGGAAAAAGCTTTTTATGTTAGAGTATATAAATATATATATATATACATACACACACATATATATATATTTATTTATTTAAACGAAAAGATAAAGATAACTTAAAAATCAAAAAACTCAATTGCAAATTGAACAATGCCTGCAATATCATATTTTCAAACGACTGTATATATATTTATAAATATATGTATATATAAATATATGTATATTTATATATACATATACATATCGACATGTTGTGTTTGTATATATAAGTGCGTGCGTGTGTGTGTGTTGTGTGAACATGTAAGCAGCATTAAATAACGATAACTTTACCCCATTCCGTTGCTTTTAAAGTATTTTAATTTATACTTTAGCATGTTAAATATGATTATATATTGTATATATATATATAGCTATGTATAAAACGATCCTACATTTATTTACTGTCCTGTACATTCTAGGAATTGATAGGAATAGTAAGAAATGATGTCACAAGCTCTTCTTGATTTCAACGTTTTTACTAATATTTTCATTAATTACTACTAACCTTGATCTAAGTTACATATAAATACCTTTTAGCAACAGTTTAACCCTAACTAAATTTTTCATTGTGGGGCCTTTAGCCCGAAAGCCTACTTTGACTGCCACTTTGGTCCCTAAATGTGGAAACTACTTTCTCTGTCTACGGCCATGTCGTTATTATGAGATTATGAAATCACGTTCATTCAGATGATTTAATCATATTTTATCATTATTATTGTTGTTATTTTCACTGTATCAAAGTTTTTTCACTTTCAGCCTGTACTATATTCAACATTATTTAGTTTTATTCTGAAGCGAGCATGCGCATTTTCATGAAAATATATGCTAAATATATAGCTGTTACATGTTTCATTAACAGTAACTTATTCGTTCATTTATTTATTTATAACAAAATTGGCATATAATAATACAAATAACACATTAATAATACAAATTTAATATTTTATTTCAGAATTTGCAAACATAATACAAAAAATTTCATATAAAAAAAGCCATTTGCGATATTTCTTAGCTTAAATCTGGCGTCAAAAACCGACAACAAAGAACTACTACCCCGGAATCGTAAAAAGTGACGGAAAAGGAAGGTTAATTGATTGTTGTTACAAGAATATCTTCATTATCAACAGCACACGCATTATAAATAAACCTTTCCACCTATCTATATCTATCACAGACGTTTTGTGTTGTGTTCATGAGGTGCAAGACATTGGGCAAATGAATAAATATATTTCATTGACAAATAAACAAAACCGGAACAATTACATAGTAATTCGGGCTATCTAATTAATTTTTTCCAAATAAATTTTGTCTTTCGATTATGTATTACCTGCAGTCTTTGGTTTCGTCTTGTTGGTCGTCTGGTCTGTCGGCTCGTTGTTCTGGAGGTTTTGTCTGCAGGTGTGTGGTGCGTAGAAATCAAAGTAATAATAATAATCATTGTTAATGCTGTTATTATTGTTGCTGTTATTATTGTTGCTATTGTAAATAAAAAGATATATCATGGAGACTTAACCACTTGGAAAATCATTTTTTTCCCACATAAAAAATTTTATTTTCATTAAATGAAAAATTTCAAATAAATAATAATAATCATTGGTAAAATGTTTAACTCACATTGATAAGCACAATTCTTCGAGCTGAAATTAACATTACAAAAATTAATATTAAAAAACATTTTTAAATATTAATATTTTAACAATGTAAATTTGTCAAGATGGTGTTGAATGTGAAGATATCCCCACCTACCATATGCGATGTGTGTGTGTGTGATACGTACATTCAAAAGCACAGTGTGTATTGTTCAATAAAAAAATTAATTAAAAAAAAATTAATAGCAAGTACATACATACGCAACATTACTATATATATTTTTAAAACATGTATATAGGTGCAATTATAACAAATAGAATAAATTTATTAATAGACACTAATAAAATATTATAATATAATTATTAATAATAACATAATTATAACGTAATTATTAATAATTACATTCTCCATGAGTCGGGACATGTTCTGGTTGGCTGCTTCCTTGTTGACAGACCTGTTTGTGTAATTGATCGAGGTTGGAAATTTTTATGTACCTCACCAACACAAGTTTTAAAAGTTTCAAATAATTATCAAAAGATAATTAAAGCACGGTCTCAGAATTTACTATAAATAGAACAAACGAAAGAATTAAAAAAATTGTAAATTTAAATTGATGAAAACCAAAAATTTATCTCGATCAAATTCCACAGCAGGTTGGTTATTTTACATGGGTGACTAGGCTTGATAAATTCTTTTAAATATGACTCAGATCAGTCCCGGCGACATAATATTTTTTCAGAATTTCGTTTTTGCTTTTAAAAAATTAAAAGTAACAAAGAACGAAATAACAAATTAAAAAAAAAATAAACAGAAGAACAAATGAACAACAAATAACAAAGAACCAACTCATCGGGATTTTGGTTACTGTCGAGTTCAAAGTGCAACCTGGCTAGCCTTTCCTGTTGTTCCCTCACCTCATCCATCTTTTTCTGGGTTCGATTTTCACCTTTTGTATATTAAAAAAATTATTTATCATTTTTCATCGACAGTTCATGCATTCCAGAAACTATTAATAATTATATAATATATAATAATTATAAGAACTTATTAACAAATTATATAATAAGATTTATAATAGTTATGTGATGCGTTTAGATGGATTCATAAGATTAAAAAAAATTTTAAACTCAACAAATACTATCTTTGGTTATTGTAACTTGTTGTAATAGTTAAGAATGGGTATGTGACAGTCACAATTTATTACAATTTATTGCATATTATTATTATTATTGTAATGATGTCATTACAAAATTTGAATTAGTACTTTGTTATATTATAGTAAGTAAGCAATAAATTGATTTAATAAAAAATTTAAAAATAATGCCACTATTTTATATTATAGTAAGTGAATAAGTGAGTGAGTGAGTGAGTGAGAAGTACCAAAAGCTTGTAGTTTGCCCTGATGGAAGTCATCCAAAAGCTGTAGCAGACCTTGCTCCATCTGTCTCACGTCGGCCACGTCAGTCAGGAATGAGTGCTCGACATTCATGTTTGGAGAGGGTTCGGTTGACTTGTTAAATACTTTTATTGATGTATATATTATTATATGTATAAATAAATGTTAAAAATATGAAAATAAAATAATTAAATTAAAATGTATTGAATATTTAAAAACAGAGTATTAAAACATTTTGGTGGTCGGATAAAGAACAAGTGCCGAAATTAAATAATAATATCTCAATTCTTTGTTCATCTTGATTTTTGAAATGAAAAAAAAATTGATAAAAAAAAGAAAAAGGAGCAATTTTTTACTTTTGTGTTTCATCGGCGGTGGAATTTTAGTTTTCATGGTGATGGAGGAAGGATCCGTCTGCTGCTGTTTGCGTATGGCTGTGGTGCCTGTGGCTGCTGTGGTCGCGGTCCCTGCGACATCATGCTGCTGGTTCATTTCCTCGTTTTTCATTATTACTCTTTGATCGAAAATCTTACAAAATACAATATCCTACACTTTATATGCTATCACACAAATTCACAAATAAATTTAGGATCTTTGAAGCGTTTAGCAACGGATAAAATTTACTTTAATCCGCTCTCGCTAAATTTTAAATCACGAAAGGTTTACTTTTAAAAATTAGAGATGGCTGTGAAAATTACTACTACAAATTTTAACTTGTCGTTAACATAGATGAAAACACAGAACAGGCTTTAAGAAACTTCCTTTAGGCACTGCACTTTTACATCAAAAGCGTCTACCCTGAATAATCTACTTTTCAAATAATAGCGAAAGTTATACATTTCACTAAGTATAGAATACCGCTAGCATGACGTCATTCCCTCCAACGATTCCGTCACAATTTCTTCATCCTATTTTAAAAATTTTCTTTGATGCTTTTTATCTAGTCGGGTCACAATCATCATTTGGCGATGGATGAAATTAAATTAAATTTTTTTAATTGTTAATAAAAGTAACTAGTATATAGTAAAAAGTTTAAAATTTTCTGAGAGAATTCGAAAAAATTTGAGACTACACCATAACACAATTGTACGATTTGAATATGTAAATATAACATTATAAATGTATTATAACTACATAAATCTACCTATTTCTTTGTTTAGTTTTGCCTGCGTATGATATTAGGTCAAATTTATTTAATAGGAATTGAATATAACATATTTATACCATACCGGCTAATTCGCTAACTGGCAGTTAAATAACTACTGTTAACATGACGTCATTTGCCCATCCTATTTTATATATTTTATTTGATGTTTTTAATTAGTCAGTCACAATCATCATCGTCGATATCACAATGAAATCAAATTGAGAATTTTTAAAATTTTTGAAAAAGTATCTTTATTCATTTTATGATACTACTTTGTTCAATAAGATACTGTTTGATACTGTACTATCATTTAACCAGTCAATGTACACTTCCAAAGTCAACAGCACATTAAGCATTAAAAAATCAGTAGTTGGCTTACAAGTCGTTTGGTTATTCGCTTGGTTAAAAAATTTATTAAGTACATTAACATGAAATAGTCTTTTTTTTGTTTTTGTCAAAACGTTTTCGGTTCACAATATAAAACTTACTAAATTTTTATTAATTATACGTTTATTTATTATGTAGAATACCCATTTTCCCTAATTAATTTGTTAACTTCAAGCTAACGAATCCGATAAAATTAGATTTGTGGAAAATAAGACTGACGTTTTGTTGAACTCGTCAATGTAAAATAAATTTGAATTCTCCGATTTTCTAACTACATTTAAATTTCCATGAAGTACAGACAATAAGATTTCTCTACAATAATTTGAAAATTTTATTTCAAAAACCAAAAAATCTATGTACAATTGACTTGAAGAAATTAAATGTTAAAATATCTATATAAATACAATGTACAATCAACGTGAAATATACAACTGATACAATTCAGATATATACAATTGGTACAAATAGATATGTACAATAAACATAATATATACAATTGATACAATTAGATAATTTTTTAAATCCTTCATGATAAAATCAGGGTGTTTTAATAGACCATTATACCATCATAGACCATCATAGACCAATGCACTGTTTAATGTTCTCAATGGTGTCATCATCGAGGAGCACGAGATCGAAGTTGTACGTGGTCTGTTGGATGTCTAAGCAACCAGCTCTGTGGATCATCTTCACGATTCTCTTCATCAGCTTCCTATCTGTTATCGACATCAAGATGTTCTGCAGTTTCATTAGCTCGTTGAGTTTGTGTCCATCAACAACTGCTGGTTTTGTGGTTGTTTTGGGAGCTTTGTTTATTTTGTTGTCGGTTGTTGTGTGTTTTGTGCAGTTGTGTGTGGATTTGTTGTTGTTTGTGTCGTTGGTTGCGTGGACAACATCATCTTCTGAGAAGTACCTGCACTCCTCCAGAGATGGGTTGAATCTCAAGTGTTTCTTGCCTGGCTGGTGAGCATTAGTTGAGTTTTGGTTACAGTTGGTCGGGATGTTGTTGTTGATGACATTGTTTTTGATGACGTTGTTGTTGGTTGTGTTGTTTGATTTAGTTGGTGTTGAAGTAAGTTGCTCGTGCTTATTGAGAAATTCCACAAATGATGTTGTGCTGTTTATTTCCTGAGAGCTGTCGGAGGAGTATGACGATGATGATCGCGATGGAGATGGTTCTGCTGCTGCTGCTGATGATCCCATGCAAGATGATGATGATGATAAGTTCGATGTTGATAATGAGGGAATAGATTCTGTTGACGATGAACTAGACATTGAAGATGTTGGTGATGATGATGACGACAATTTTGAAGACGTTGATCTCGTTGAACGAGCTGGTAGGCTTTCGAATTTGTTCACTAGTTGAGCTTCATCTGTTGTTGCACATTTCTTTGGCCTGCCGGGTTTCTTCTTCGCAGGAGGTTTTGAGTTTTCAAGAGTGCCTGATAGGATTGAGACCTTCTGCAGGACATTATTGGAGACCACTGCATCGCCCAGGAACAAATAATAATCAAATGGAACGGGCTGTCGCTGGTTGTTCACTCTGAAGTGGACGACGATCGACATGCGGAAGCCTCCGTAACCACATTCAACAACCTGGAATGGCGCGCTTCTAACAACTCTTCTCGGCTTCTTGAAGGACGGATGGAGGTTGAATTCAACTTTCTCAACGAACTGATCCTGGTCAGTCCTCACGTACAAAATCCAGTCGTGCGTGCATCCTTCCTTCGTTGGGAGGCTCCTCACTGCTGCCTTGTGTCCAATTTCTACGCTCACCTCAATCTGGATGAAAATATGAGTTATTTAATTGATTACACTTTTAGCTTCAAATTACATTTACAAAAAAAGAAAGAAAACTTTTGTCCTTTAAATCAATACAAATGCTAACCGTTCTTCTGTCAATGTTTCTCGCTGCTTGAAAAATAGAAGCTGACGGAGCCATTCGGAAAATTTTTTACTTAAATTAAAATAATTTTAATTAAATAAAATATATGATTGAATAGACTATTAGGATAACCAAATCAACTGAGCAAGATTTAATTCTGTTAATTTAGTTGATAGCTAGTGAAATAACTGTATGAGAAACTATATCAAATGTCTCGAATTTGTCAATTTTTTTTATTTCAACAACTTATATACTTTTTCAAAAACAGAAATTTAAGTTCAAAAGTAAAATGAATGATGACCTGTAAATTAATCGAGCATTAAAAACAACTTAACGCTGAATTTGTCTCAATTTAGTTGAAGCGTGTCAATTTTGTGATTGTAAACTGTTAACATGTGATAAAACAATTGTCACTAGGTGGTTGTTTCTAATAAATTCATTAGCGTCTGTTAGCTGACACACTTATTTTACTGTTTGTTGTTTGCAAGTTGTGTCTTGTTTTACTATGACCATGCTCTAGACTTTTTTTTAAAACACGGCACAAAGCTTCGCAGAAATCATTTAGAATTTAAATAAAACGTCCCATGCTGGCGATATGTACGATGTATTTCTTGGGTCTTATTAAAACATTTTGTATACAAAAATAACATAAAAAAATACCACAAAAATCTAACGTATTTTAACATTCAACAAATAATTTAATTATTTATTTATTATTATATTAATTAAAATGGCATATTAAAAAAATGTTTCAAAGCATCACACTTTCGTAGAAATCATTAAAAAATACGACGCATATTTGGCGATAAATTCCATCTAATATGTTTTTGTTAATAAATGAGCTTTGTAGCCGGCGTATTGGTAATTAAACACAGAAACAACATACTAAACCATACCTGAACAATCAACGTTTTTAATTTTAACAACTACTTTCAATTAATCGAGCATTAAACAACTTAACGCTGAATTTTTCTCGAAATAGCCTTTTCAAAAACAGAAATTTAAGTTCAAAAGTAAAATGAATGATAACCTGTAAATTAATCGAGCATTAAAAACAACTTAACGCTGAATTCGTCTCAATTTAGTTGAAGCGTGTCAATTTTGTGATTGTAAACTGTTAACATGTGATAAAACAATTGTCACCAGGTGATTGTTTCTAATAAATTCATTAGCGTTTGTTAGTTGTGGCACGCTTATTTTACTGCTTGTTGTTCGCAAGTTGTGTGTTGTTTTACTATGACCATGCTCTAGACTTAATTTTTAATTTTTTGTTAATTTATTTTAAACTAAATACAATAGTAATAACATATTTTTTACATATTTTTTTATGGTTCAATACCATCTAGAAAGAATGAATGACACGTATGCTGACGTGTCTGACTAACAATAATACTATTCCCACTCGATCCATTTCAAATGTTTCTGCCAATGACAATGGTGTTTGTTTGGCCATTTCGTACCTTTGTTAATTTGTACGCTCGTAAGATATTTAACACATACAGACTATTAACACACACACACACACACACACACACACACACACACACACACACACACACACACACACACACACACACACACATACACACACACACACAGAGAGAGAGAGAGAGAGAGAGAGAGAGAGAGAGAGAGAGAGAGAGGAGAGAGAGAGAGAGAGAGAGAGAGAGAGAGAGAGAGAGAAACAAACATATACACACATAAATGTGGGAATTAATTGATTGATTAGTATTAGTACACTGTACTGTGGCTGTATTATATTATTATTCGATGACATCATCCGACGCAAAATCAAAAAATTCGTGTAGCTCACGTTACTAAAATAATTATTGTGAAAAAAATCTGAAAAATCGTTTTAATAAGATGAGTTCAGAGGGTGAACATCAGAACGAACAAATGATGAACCCACTGCTGTTATAGAACTGAACACAAATGAACAGCTCTCAAATTAAGGACTTAAAATTTTTTCAATCTTGAATTCACTTTTATTAGAACTAAAAGTAAAAAATTGTGGGGTTTTTGAAATATTAAGATTAAAGTTTAGGCAATTTTATTTCAAAATTTACTATTTTTCAAAGTGAATAAATCTGTTTAATTTATTAATTTTAATATTTCTTACAATAAATTATGAGTGAAATATGTGAAAAATATAATCACCAAAACTTCGAAAAACTACTCCTAAATTTATCCAAGAAAGTAAATGGAGATGGTGTTTCCATGAGTTTGCAGCAGAAATGCGATCAAGTTATTTTTCATTTTTCAATTTTATTTCAATTTTTCATCAAAGTTAATTATTTGAAATTAAATTTTATTCTATTGGGTGGCCCATTAATTGATTAATGTTAATCAAAATGGATTTTTACATTAGTAAAACTGTCAGTCTCTAGTCTAGACTAGAAAAAAGACTAAGCACTAGATTAACATTAAAGTAAGAGTAAAGTAACTGACTAGGGAAGAGACAAGCACAAGACTAGACACTAGAGACTAGACTTTAGACAATGTGATAAAAATGATAAAGATGAGTATCTTTTAATTTTGAACTTTGATATGGTCAGTAATGGTTGTTATGATGATTTATTTATTATTTCATTGCAGTGAAATAAATATTTTTTTTAAATTCACAAATTGGTATACAATTTAACAGGCTTTCCAGCATTTAAAAGTTGAAAGAGAAACATATTTCAGGACGAAAATATTTTATGATCATGTCGTTTCGTCATTTTTGGAGAGGAAAAATAACTCAATCAACAATGAAAGTCATCCTGAAAATGATGTGAGATTTGATTGGTTGGTTGGCTGTTAGATGGATGGTCGGTTGGTAAGTTGGTCAGTTGGTTGGTTGACTAGCTCACTGGTCTATTGGTTCATCCATTGGTTGGTCCATTGGGTGTTCATCAGTCAGCTGACCATCATTCATCATCATCATCAAAATACAATGACAATCATCATCATCTTCATTTTTTTCACACTGGCTTCTCTAGTTTGTCTAGTCTCTAAATCTAGTCTTTAGTCTAGTCATTGTTCATCAGTCAGCTGAACAACAACAAACTGTTTGTTTGGCAGACTGATTAAGTTTTAAAACTAAAAACAGAATTTATAATGAAAATTTTCACCAATATTAATTTATTATTATTATTATTTATTTATTATTATTTATTTATTATTATTATTATTGTAATAATTATTTTTAATAGGATCCAATTTGGGAGATGTTTACAAAGTCGTGCGTGATTGATTTCTTCGAAGGAACGACGGACGGGAGCATACTGGGACTTAATAAGGATGCCTTCCACATTGGCAGTGATGAAAAAAAGGTTTATTATTATTACTATTATTATTATTATTATCTTATTTTCTAGTATTATTTTTATTATTTATTTTTATTAATTAATTTTCAGTGGAATTAACAACACTCATGAAAAACATTTAGAATGTGTGTACTTTTTCTCACTATATATATATATATATATATATATATATATATATATGTATATAATTGTACATATATACCATAACGATATACAATATATACAAGTTCCTATTTAGCATACAAAGTGCGATGTTGAGTAGAGTTGAAACTCGGATACAAGAGCAGTACGATGCATTACTTGAGGTATTTGGTGAGATATACAATACGCAATCTGATCCGGGTTTGTATTGTATTTTTTTTGTGTTTTTTCTTCTTTTGGGTGTTGTTTTTCTCTTTGTATGTTTGTGTTATTTCTCTTTCTCTCGCTCTTTTTTTTTCTCTCTCTCTCTCTTTCTCTCATGCAAAATAAGTGATAATTTTCAATTTTTTTCTCTATGGCGATGTTTCTCAACGCATATTTAATGATACCATAAAAACATTTAAAATATATTATTATTCATGTTATTAATATTATTATTCTAATTATTATTATTATTTTTCACCAAGCTTCCCACCTGCTGGCTCAGGAAATGGAGCTGGAGCAATTGAAGAAGCAGCTGACAGTGCATCAGTCCACCAAAAAACAATTGTTCCAAGAGTATTTTAAAGTCTGTTTTTTTCATAATGATGATGATGGTGTTGTTGGCGATTGTGATGATGATGATGATGGCGATTGAGATGATGATGATGTGTGGCAATTATGATGATGATGATTGTGATGGTGATGACAGTGGTGGTTGTGTTGATAATGGTGATGATGGTACTGGTGATAATGAGAATGATGAAGATGACGATTGTCACATTATTAGCATTTATTTTAAGCCTTCCAGTTGATTGCATAGAGCTTCACGTAATAATCTTCTAAAATTTATCTATCTATATTCGGTTGGCGATTTTTAAAAAGTTAAAAAAAAAATCCCTCGAAAAATTCTAATCCCAGCCAAAAATTCCGATTCCACATTCTGATGTTGATGATGATGGGGATGATATTGATGATTATGATGATGATGGTGATGATAATGATGATTATGATGATAATGATGATGATGATGACGTCAACAACTCCACACCACCACCATCGTGCAGAGCCTATCATCATCATGTGGTGTGTTATTGGAACTGATGAAGACGTACAGAGTGGACAAACTCATCAGCAATAACACAGTAACAATCAACTGGTTGCTGAGCCATTGTGAAGCTCTCAATTTCAAGATCAAGTTTGTCTGTTTGTTTGTTGGTTTGTTTGTTTGTCTGTCTGTCTATTTGTTTGTTTGCTTGTTATTGGTTAGTCTGTTTGTCTGTTTGTTTGATTGTTTGTTTGTTTGCTTGTTGGTTTGTCTGTTTGTCTGTCTGTCTTTTGTCTGTCTGTATGTCTGTCTGCATGCTTGTTTGTTTGTATGTATGTGTGTGTTTATTTGTTTGTGTTTGTTTGTTTGTTTGCTAACTCTGCAGTTCTCTGTCTATCTGCATTGGATTTAGATTCTAATTGGTGGACGATACGGTTTATTTCTTAACAGGATGCAAGAGTATCAGTTGCTAGCAGAAATATACACGAAAGATTCTATCAAGGCTCTCAACGTCATCAGGTTGTTATATAGACGTTGATGTGGTTGCTGCTACCACTATTACTACTACTAATACTACTGCTTCTACTGCTTCTTCTACTGCTTCTAGACGATGACGTGGCTGCTACTACTACTACTGTTACTAATACTACTACTACTACTTCTACTACTGCTTTTAGACGATGATGCGGTTGCTACTACTACTACTACCACTGCTACTACTACTACTGCTACTACTGCTTCTACTACTTATACTAATACTAAGTTAATCATAATAACATAATAATAGCATAATTACGCCATAATAATAGCATAATAATTCGAGTCGTCGTTGAAATCTTTCGATTTTCAAATAACCTTTTAAACGTTCGTCTGATGATATATTATGGTGGCAATATTATTATTATTATTATTATTATTATTATTATTATTATTAAGTAATTAATAATATAATTAGTACCATTTAGGACTAACCTTCTCTCGTTGTACACATCCTTTTTATAAGATGACGAGCTTCGGAGATTATTTCAAGACATTTTACTATATACATATATATTTTAATTTTGATTATCATTGACAATTATTGTTTTTTTTTCATGTACGTTTTTACGATGAAAATAAAAAGGTGTTCTCATATTATTATTATTTTATTATTATTATTATTATTATTACCTGCAGAAATGAGTTACTAAAGCAAGATGCCCAGACGAGTGTTGAGTTGGCAAGGATGTCTGACCTGCTGACGACCTACGAAGCCGTTGGGCCCGAGTTCAAACGCATCGTGCACGAGTACTCCAGAATTAGGGACGAGATTGAGAATAAAAAGTGGGCGCTAGATGAATTCGAAAAGCATAAGAAATAGTCCGAGTGTCTGTCTGTGTGCGTGTGTCAGTATGTGTGTATATATATATATATCTGTGTATGTGTGTGTTTGTGTGTGTGTGTGTGTGTGTATTTTTTGATTGATTGAATGTATTGTTTGTTATTGTTATTAAAAATTTCAGTGCGTTACTGTTGCCTTTTTTAATATTAGTAGCAATTTTAATAGCAGTAACTTTACTATTATTATTATTATTTTGTTATAAATATTATTATTATTGTTATTATTGTCTGACACTTTTGGTAACATTTTTTAAAAACATTTCTGCCAATTATTTCGAAACGTCTGTCTGTCTGGCTGTGAAATACAAAAAGAATCAAACACACACAATGACATAATGTATGTATGTATTATTTAAAACATTGTGTTGTGGGTACCCAAGCTTCTGTCTGTCTCTGTCTCTCTGTGTGTGTGTATGTGTCTGTATATTTGCGTGTGTTTGTGTATTTGTTTGTGTGTGTGCATTTATTTTATTTATTTATTTGATTGTACTTTTTCAATTGATAGCATTTAGTACTAAGCAATATATTTATAAAACATTGCATTAATATATATGTGTGTGTGTCTGTGTGTGTGTGTCAAAGTTTGTTTGTATGTGTGTGTGTGAGATAAAAAGAAAGAGAGAGAGAGAGATAGAGAGATTCATTTATTTTATATAGATATACTTTTTTGTATATGGATTTGTGTATATGCTGTGTGTGTGTGCGTGTGAGTGTGTGTGCATGTGCGTGTGAGTGTGTGTGCATGTGCGTGTGATTGTGTGTGTGTGCGTACATATATATTTTTCGTATAAGCATATTAATGTTGTATAATTGGTATTAATAAAAAATTTTTTCGGCTCTGTTTTGTTACAATGAAGTAGAATTGAAAGATCAATCATAGCACGAGTTCACCGTCAGTAAATAATTAATCTATTTATTTAACTTTCTGAAGAGTTATTTAAATTTTTTTTTAAAGTTTAAGTCAAAGAAAAAGTTGAAATTGTTTGAGTAGCAAACAATCAGCGTTTGTGCTAATGTGTGAATTTTATGAATGTGTGTCTGTCTGACTCTCTGTGTGATTGTGTGTGTCTGTATGTGTGTATCAAAGTGCCGTCTGTCTGTCTGCCTGTCTGGTTATCTCTATGTCTATTTCTCGTTTTTTATATATCAATCAAATCACTTCAAATCACTTTTTATTCAATCAAACAAAACAAAAAGAACGAATGATTCGGGGACCAAAAAAAGAAAATTAATCCTATTGGACTCGGCCACCGTGCAACTCAAAATAGCTTCTCAATGATAACACAGCGAGAGTAAATTAGAATAAGAACAATATATACATATAATATAGTGTTTGTCTGCTTGTTTGTATCAGTGTGTTAGTATGCGTGTGTCTCTATGTGTGTCTGTTTTCAATGTGTGTAGTCTGTGTTTGTCAACTTATGAGCTGAATAGATCGCATTGAGAGGAATGGTTTTAAGTGCATTTTTAGTTATAAATCTTCGGGCGCTATGTCTTAAAAATTTAAATTCTCTTTTTAAATTTTCATAAAATTTTTAATTGATTTATTAAAAGGCACTGTTTGTGTCAAAAAAATGTTCAAATGTTGTCATCCTATCGAAATTTATTGCCTTTTTTGCTTTGATATTTGAATGCAGCGTAACAGATCCTTCACTAGCAAGCAGTTCACATATATTTAAAAGTACCTTTTATTATTTTTATTACATCTGAAAACGATTTATATTGGCGTGTATGAGATAGCTTGCACTTTGTTTGCAGTTGAACTCGGCAACATTCGCTAATGAAATTTCAGACTGTCAATCAGACAGTCGTTTAATTAATCAGACCAAGTAAAATTAACTGATAATAAGTTTCCATTGTTTTATAAACCTGCCAGTGAAATTCTGGAATTATTTCAAGTGGGTGGTGTTTCGATTTATCGAAACATTTTGGATGTTGTAAGAAGTCTTTATCATTTGAATGAAAAAAAAGAGTCCCATCCCCATGGGGATATTTATTTACTTCCGTCCGATACGAATTTCAATGACATCATTACAAGGTTGCGCAATATCCGGACGCAACTACTGTATGAGATGATTGCAATCTCTGCATTTGCGTACGATTTTCTCCATCTTCAAATTTATGAAAGAAACTTTCCAGACGAGTTTTTTTTTTTCTACTGTACCATTGAGTAGCAGTTGGATAGAGTATGTCTGCTAAGGTTTTCGTTGTCGCGGAAGTTTGCGTTGGTGAGCTGAGCAGTTTGTCCATTTGGATGCATTTCTAACGAATTTAAACGAAATCTTAAGAAAATTTATGACAAACTTCGACAGTTGATCTCAATGATTTTAAGTTTATAACGCTTATTTTCATATTTCTTACCGATGAATCGACCAACTATCATTCAATATAGACGATAAGTTGAATTTGACCAAGAGGATAATCTTTCGGTAAAGAGACCCAACTACACACGTGCCTCACCAAACCGATGTTTTGAAAAAACTGAGATGTACCTATAACATCGGTACTATCGATACAGAAATCGGTAATGAAATTTTACATCACCGATATCCTAAATTCTGAATTTCCGAAATTTACGGGCACCAATCGGCCCAATCAATCTAAATGGTCTGTCAAGATCACTTCTGGTCTGGTGTAGGTAGATCTGGTGTTTCATTTTCAAGAGCCACACTTATAACATAATGATAATAATAATAATAAATTAATGATTATATAATGATTAATAATATAATAATAATAATTAATAATAACTTTCAAACCGTTGAAACAAATGGCAGATGATTGACACGAATTTAAATGTTATCTATTTTTATAGAGGAAACGCGTTTTTTTAAAATAGCCACTCAGAGATAATGACGGGAGACGTGTGCTGTGGTGGTGTGTATCTCTGTGTGTGTGTGTATCTGTGTGAGGTATGTTGTTGTTGTTGTTGTTATGGTATGTAATGTTGTTGTTTTTGTTGTGTGCTATGTTGTTGAGTGTGTGTGTGAGTTATGTTGTGTGTGTGTGTGTTGTTGTTGTAATGTCTGCCTGTGTGTGCTATGCGATTATTTGCTGTTATATGTGTTATGCCTGTGTGTGTTTTGTGTTGTCTTTTTGTTGTCGAGTGTGTGTTACATTGTATTGCTCTTTGTGTATGTGTGTGTGTGTGTGTTGTGCGTGTTACGTTGTTGCATGTGTGTGTTTTATATGGCGTGTGTTGAATGTGTTTTGAGTAGCTGTGTGTCATTATTTCATCATCATTATTTTTAGAGCCATTCTTATCAGTCGACACATGCTTGCCTTCTTGACACAAAGAAAATTTGATAAGGAGATAAATCCAAATCACGCCAGCTTAAAAACTTTAGCAAAGAGGTTTTAATTCAACTGATGATGATTATGATGATGATTATGATGATGATGATGATGATGACGACGACGACAACGATTAGTGATAGGTGATAATGATGATGATGATGAGGATGATGATGTTCTATTTGCTGCTGCTGCCGATGATGATTAAAATGATGATTATGACGATAATAAAGATAAGGACGACGACGATGATGAAGATGATGACGACGATGATGATGATGAAGATCATATTCAGAAATATAACTTAGCACGTGAAACAATAAAAATTAAGCGGTCGTGCGACCACGTGTCTTCGATTCATAAAAAAACAACATGAGACAGGCAAACACACACACATACATACACACGCACATACACACACACACATACATACACACACATACATACACACACATACATACATACACACACATACACAATTAAACATACACAATTTTTTTAACATAAGACTAACGCGCCTAAAAAAATTATAAACAAGCTGACATACATGCACACACTCAGACATATTCATAGAAATATACATACATGAAACATTCAAACATACATACATACATACATACATACATAAGCATGCATGCATAAAATCAAATAACACATAAAACACCGATATAACATAAAAAACACATAAACACGCACACACAAACACACACACCACACTAAACTAACACGCACAAGCATACTCATATACAAACCAACACATATATACAATTAAGCACACACACACGCACCACACATACCAACATACACACTTATACAGTCATACACACGCATACACAAACATACACACACACACACACACACACACACACACAGACGCACACACAGACACACAAACGTGCGTGCTTCAGTTTGAAGAGGCTTAAAATCGACAGGTGTTTTCTGAAGATTTTCTATAATTATATATATATATATATATTATAAATAATTATATATATATATATATATATATATATATTATAAATAATTATATATATATATATATATATATATATTATAAATATATAATATAAGTATATATGTATACATATATATATATATATATATATATTTATATAAATAAATAAATATATATATATTTATATATATATATATGTTTATATATGTTGGAAGGAGACCATATTTAATACAGTATTGTATGAATTCTACCGAATTGTTGGCATTAATCAATTTAAAGTTTGTCTTTTCAATTTTCTTTTCCAGAACTTTCTGGTAATTTATTGTCCAACTTATGGAAACTTTAAATTGATTAATGCCAACAATACGGTAGAGATCATACAACATTGTATATTATTAGTATTATTTTATTAATAAGAAAAAAATATATATAGCGTTCGTTATAGCAGTTTTCACAAACGCTATCAAATTATAACCAATATTCATATAAAAATAATATGAATGAAAAGAATTGAACTATAACAAAAAAAAGGTATGTCTTTAATTGTCTTTTAAATTCAGCAATGTTCAACCCAGGCATTCTGAGGGCTGACGGCAAGCCGTTCATACGACAGGGCCTGACACAGCAAAATCACGTGAACCAATCTTTAGCTGTCTATGAGGAACAACCACAAGAATGTTCGAATCGTCAGACCTCAGACGCACACCAGATGCGATCGACGTTTTTAATTTCAGTTTATCTGATAAATATTTTAGAGCCAGACCATTTAGTGATTTGAAAACTGTAACAGAGATTTTAGAAACAACTCTTTCATTTATGCGCAACCAATGTCAATTATTCAGGGTCGGTGTGGCATGATCATATCATCGACATTCAACCATAATCCAGGCAGTACGGTTTTGCATCGATTGCAGAATTTTGATGGATCTGGCCGGGAGTTTATAAAATAAACTATTACAAATTAAACTAATACGCCATAAATATAATATAAAAATAAATAAATATAACTAATAAATAATAATAATAAATATTACGCCATAAATATAATATTAACATAAAAATAAATAAACTAATACGCCAAAGTCTGCATTTCATCTTTATCAAGTGATTCTGGAATTCGTTTCATATTTATAATCTGTGCCAAGCATGATATAGAGATCATTTTTAAATAAAATTTCATTGTTGGGTTCGAATCAATTATAAAGCCTAGGTTCGGCACCGCTTCAAAGAAATCTACCATTTTATCATTCATAACAACGAAATTTATACCCAAGTCTGCCAGCTACAGCTAGAGGTACCAATAGAAAGAAATTTTGTTTTACCCTCATTAAGCTTCAGTTCATTTCTTGACATCCCAACGTAAATATATAGGGTAGTGGTTTACCAATAATATATATATATATATATATATATACATACAAAAAAAATATATCAGCATATATTTGACCAGTATATATATATATATATATATATAGGTTCGGTTAAAGTGTGCCGTACAGCCAGCATTAACTCAGAAGATTAGATTCTCGTTATTTTTATTGCAAACAATAATAATAATGATGATGATATTATGAATATGAACAAGAACAATAATAAATAATAATAATAGCTGTTGTTGTTGGTGTTGTTGTTGTAGAAGCAGCACTAGTAGTAGTAGTAATAGTTGTAGTAGTAGTGGTGGTGGTTGTGGTGGTAGTAGTAGTAGTTGTTGTTGTAGTTGTTGTTGTTGTAGTAGTGGCGATATATAATTTTTAATGTAGTATTATTAGTAGGGATGGAAGTAGTATGAATAATTGTAATAATAATAATAATAATAATAGCAACAACAACAACAACAACAACAATGAGAACATCCTTTTTTTCTCATTTTAAAACTTACATTGTAACTATAAAGTTAAAATAATAAAACTTATAATGTA